TAAGTAAGCTGCAACCTCCAGGCTAGTGACTTCCCCTGCAGTGGGGAGACTGACAATATTCCCTCAGCATCCTCCTTGCAAAGTGGGAGCAGTATTTTTATATCTGACGTACACATCAGGAGAAAGAGAAGGACTGTCTGCCTTGTTAGCTTTCTGCTGTTCCTTTCTCACTCAGAACCCAAGCCACACAATCAGACTTTAATAAGCCAAGCTTGCTGTAGCTCCCAGTTTTGGAGCTCTTCAAGGTAGTTCAAGATAGGCAATACTCGTTGACCTCCTCCATTCTGTTAGTTCATCTTCTAACCAGGAAGAGGCAGAGGCTCACTGGGAAGTGGTAACTCCTTGGTTGATGTCTTAAAGCCACAGAGACCTTTTTCTGGATGCCCCATCTTGGGATGGTTGGGTAATTTCACCTGGACAAGGATAACGCATCATAGCACATTGCCCCATTTGGCCATTATTATCATATAACTCACTAAACCAGGGCAAGAATGTGGAATCTTGACATTTCACCCAACAAGCCATAAATACGACTCCATCAGGCCAAAAGGAGGGTCAAATGGGAAGTATTTGAAGTCTGGGCATTGACCAGAACGCTAGGTGGGGGATGAGCCTAAAACCTGCGAGGGTGGCTATCAGGGGGCGGTAAGGGTCACACATCAGATGTCCCCAGAGTCCGTGCAGGGGCTCAGGAATGAATGGGTAATCCTGGTTAGAAATAGGCTAAAAGGGAAAGGGATGGGGAACTGCAAGAGACCAAGGGGTCCTCAGCTGCCAGGATCAGGAACAGGCTGGAGTTCTCAGAGATGAGGCATCTCCACGCTGTGTTGGCAGAAGTGACGTCAGCATTTGGTTGGGTAACTGCCCAGAGCTGGGATCGGAGAGTTAAGCGAACGTAGCTGCTTAGGAAGCTGTTTCTACTCATTGAAGCAGAGTGAATTCTTCCATCTATGTTCTTAGCCTTATTGTTGCATTTATGGTAGTGTGTGTGTGTGTGTGTGTGTGTATGTGTGTGTGTTTATAAGTGTATACATATTTTAACATTTTAACATGTTACCTCCCCAGTGGACTCTGAAGCTTCCCAGAGCAAGACACTAGAGCTTACTCACATAGATGTTCCACATGGTAGACGTTGTTCACTTTACCCGACCCCTAATCCAGTATTCTTGACTGTGCCCCTGGAGGTTTCCACGTGCATGCTCAAACCCACACAACTGGACATTGCTAAAAAATTATCTGGGTTCTCTGGGTCACCGTTGTCTCTGACACGAGGGTGACACTGGCTTGCAAACCAGCGGCATAATGTTAGAGACCTTGCAAATCTGTTCCGCCCAGATATCCTAACGAGATACCATTTATGGAGAACTGGTATAACGTTGGCCATGCACTTATGGTGCTAACCTCAGTTAATGTACTCGAATGTCTGTTACCATCACTCCAGCTGATGAAGCAAAACCATCCCTAAGGATGCAGCCCTTCTCATCTCAGTGATTATAAATGGTTCTCTGATAGCTCCTGGTATTCTGCTTCCAGTTCTCTTATTTGGATCTCATTTTTCCTGGGCTGACAGTCTTCTAATGAGGTACGGCATTTCTGTTTTTCTGATTCCCACACACCAGGATAGAGCAAAAGCAATGCTATTTCATTGCTCTGACTTAATGCTTTTTGTGAAGAAAGGAAAAAAGAGAGGAAGAGTGGGAAAAAGGAAAGAGAAGGGAGGGCATGGAGGTAGAAAAGGAAGGGAAAAATAAGAGAAAAGAAATATGAGGAAAGTAAGACAGAAAAATAATGTGAATCTTCTGGACTGTTTGAGTTTTGCTTTGTTCAGAAAGGCGAATCCTTCAGAGTTTCTCTTTCAAGCCAGTGCCCTGTCAGAACTTGAAACATGTCTTCCGCCTAGTTACAAGCTATAGGAAACTTAAATGATACAAGGATAACTATCTAGATACTTCTGTTTAAGTTCTCTGTGGTGTGTATGTTCCTTAGTGGGGCTAGGGTGACCACTTCGGAGTTTGAAAACCAAAGATGAACTCTGTGTTTTGCTTTTTTTTAAATTCCAGGACACCAGTCTCTGCTCATGATTTCATTTCACTGTGTGAGGCTTCAGTTGGATGGCTAAGAGGATGGCAATTCAGGTATTCATTTCCAGCTCATTGATTTGTCAGGGGGTAGGGGGAGGAAGATGATCAACTTTCTTATATCTCCATTGCTTTGTACATTTTGAAGACAGAAAAAAAAATGTCCTTTGCTCCTTCTGTCCTGCTGAGCTTCCCAGATGCTGATTCGTCCCCTCTTTCCTGTCTCAGCCCATTGCTGGCTGGCCTTGTCTCCAGTTCTGTGTCCTCCGCTGCTCCAGACCGTGCCTACTGCCAACCCCGAGTAGCCGTCCCATGTGAGGGGCTTCTTTTTACTCCAGTCAGTGGACATCCACTGGCTATGTCTGTTCTCCTTTCCGGTGCGTCTTTTAGTGATGCTCCTGATGAGAGATGAAGTAAAAAGCCAGAGCACCAGGTCTGAGAAAGAAGAAAAGCAAAATTCTCAACAGTAGAATCAATTAAAATCAGGGCGTTAGCGACTGTGTTTGGGTTTATGAGTGTGTGAGTGTGTGTGTGTGTTTGGGGAAGATGTGATGATGGACAATCATGTCGGGGGGGGGGCGTGTCTGGGTGGCTCAGTCAGTTAAGCGTCTGTCTTTAGCTCCGGTCATGATCTCAGGGTCCTGGGATCGAGCCCCACATCAGGCTCCTGCTTCTCCCTCTGTCCCTCCCCCTGCTTGTACTCTCTCCCTCTCTCTGTCAAATAAATAAAATCTTAAACAACAACAACAACAACAACAGAATCCCTCAACTGGAAAGTAGAAGGGAATGCAGGGGACAGCAGTGTTGCCCACGTTGGTGAGAGCCGAGCTGAAAACATAAATGCTTTCTCTTCTGTTGCTCCAAAACTACCTAATCTTATATTCTTGCTGAAGGCAACTTAATCCTTCTGCCCATCACACTGTCCCCATCCAATGATACAGCATTTCTCGTTTGCTGGTTTCGTGGAGACTCACAGGGCTGCTCAGCCCATTTTTTACAGTATGATCTGATTTCAGTGATTTTATAAGGTTGACTCATTAGAGGCAAGTTGGAGGGGGTCCCCAGAACAAATGAATAGCCTGCTAAGCCACCCATTTAAAATGACAATAATAAAAATGTTCATAAACATCAATATTTGCACCACGGTTTATGGTCGCTTTTAACGAGCAATTCTGCTGTGATCTTTGAATGATTTCCTTTAGTAGATGATCTTCCCACTTGTCAGATTTAATCTTGACTCAATATGATTTTGCTACCCCACCTCATGTGTGCTTGAATTAAAAAGCCTTTTGGCTTATTTCCACAACTGAACTCGAGAGTCAGACTCCTTACGGATTTTTCTAAGTGGCTGTCACCTCGCTGCATGTTTTGGGGGTGGAGGGTGTTGCTGATTTAAATTAAAACCCACTTAGGGGAATGAATAATTCAGGCCTTCCAAAATCCATTTCTGGGCCAGAATTATCTGGGTGGGGTCTCCAGACAACTACTGAGTAAATTACCTAATTCACTTTCAATTTTTTTATTTCCTGCTTTTTACACATTGACTTAGTAGGCCACAAAAAGTTCTTAAACATAGATTGGGCTGGGTAATCAATAGGTTTTATTCACTCTTCGAGACTCAGTTTTCTCATCTACAGAATGGGGGTGATAACAACCCTTAAAGCTCAGAGTTATATGTATATGTGTATATACATGTATGTATGTATATGAATCTTATTTACATAAGCTATTATATACTAAGAGTCTAGTGTCATAGTGCCCGGTGTGTTAACCATCATTATAATTACAATGCAGTGGTCCCCTGTAAGACTTTCCCGAAGCTCCTCAGTCAGATGCATGAACACAGTAGGCTGTTTGGTGTTTCCCTATTTTGAAATACCTTAACATAGCTTAACAGGTACACGTAGATCACACAGGCAGCAATAATTAACCAGATCTTCCTCCAGGGATCTCCTTTTTGTTGTTCTTTTTTGCTTATCCACTTTCGTGGATGTGAATCTTTTACATTAAGGATTAGATGGGGGAATGGAGTGTTCTGTTTATTAAGAGGTTAACTTAAAATTATCTATAAAACCTCTTTTGTCCAGATCCTTTCTTTTTTTTCCCAAAGACCTTATTTATTTATTTATTTATTTGAGAGATAGAACAAGTGGAGGAAGATGTACAGTAAGAGGGAGAAGCAGGCTTCCTGCTGAGCTGGGAGCCCAATGTGGGGCTTGATCCTGGGATCCTGAGATCATGACTTAAGCTGAAGGTAGACGACTAACCGACCGAGCCACCCGGGTGCCCCTATTGTCTAGATCATATTGAAACTAATTTCCAGCTGGATAAGTTCATTTTCCCACCCTCAGACAATTCCAGGGACAGTGAAGTTTATCTTGGTGGTACAGATCTTTGGGTGCCTGGGTCATCACCCTGAATGCTGGCTTTTATCATACAGGCCCAAAAACACAGAGGCTGAAGAGGAGTTGTTAGCCGATTTTGACTTGCGCCGAAGTTGGCACCAAGACTAAATTTTCACTAGGTTTACTAGAACTATTTCTTACCCCATTATGTCGTGTAGACACTCAATAAACATTTGTCAAATAAACGATGATTGTATATTTTTTCCCCAACATACTCAGCCTTGCTTACCACATCTCTCTCCCATCTTTTCCTGAAAGTGTTTAAGATAGCTTATAAGGACTCCTAAAATATAAAAAGACATTATTCTGTAGGAGACATTACTCAAGGGTAAACCAGTCTGAGGCTCCTCTTCCCTTTCTCTCTGCTGTGTGGTCAGCTGTCGCGGGCCCAGGTCTGCTGAGGAAATCGGGCAGCAGGGTGGGCAAAATGTTAGCCAGATAGAGCTAACTGGAGCCTCTCCCCCGGGACAGAGACAGTTCTCAACGTCAGTATGATATTTCCTTGCAAAATCTTCCCTTAGTTCCGTTAGCGTGGGTGGGTCCCGTTCTTTTCCACAAAATAATCCCTGACTGGATCTGAACGTCAGATTTGGTTCCAAGCTTTCCAGAGGATGTTCACAGACTGGAAACACAGAGCAAGCTGCTGTTCATGTGGTACATTAGTTACACTGTCAAATAACATGTTCAACATCTGGACTCCTTTGTGAATGACGTATTTCTGAATTTCAACCAGTGGGTCCAATTGTTAACCTGAAAAAAAAGACAATAAATACAGAACAGAGTGGCAAACAAAAGTTTCAAAACACCAGGAAAACAGTATATTCATTATAATTCTTTTCAGATTAACTGTTTGATAGTCTATGCATTTTAATTTGGACAGAAAGCCGTATTAGTCAACTTACTATCTAAAAACATAACTAACAAACTGTTTAATAATAAGTTTATCCTACAATTTTTTTTTTTTTTTTTATGTTTCAGACTCTTTGGCAGCCAATGCAAGCATGAAAACTTCCTTGTTGTAAGTTAACAAGAATGTCATGGGATAAAGCAGAATATTACCACTCAAGTAGTTATAGTGTACCCTAAAAAAGAGATTTATTCTGAACATCTTCATAAAATTTCAGTTCAACCCAGTGAACAACATCTTTGAGTAAACTCATACAGTAGCACTAACACAAATTTTCCTTGTCTCTGGTAATATCTTCCAATGCAGGCAGATGGGGTTATCTCCAAGTGAAATTCAGGAAAAATGCTTAAGGGGACAAGGGGGCAGTGGGCACCAATCTCCTTTTATTGGCCTTTCTTCAGGATGGCTTGCCCATCTTTTATTCAGTTCATCTCAAGAAATATTTATTGAGCACCTACTATGTATACTGTGCTAATTGCAACGGATGCATATGTAAATAAGGTAGAGTCCCTGCCTTCATAAAGGGATCAGAGACATCAACCAAGAGGATATAACTGGGACAAATAAAAAGCACCTACTATGTGTTAGGCCTCCTCACAGACATTTCACACCTGTTGTCTGTTAAATAAATCTCTCTCTCTCTTTTTTAAAGTTTATTGATTTAAGTCATCTCTACACCCAACATGGGGCTCGAACTCATTACCCTGAGATTGAGAGTCACATGCTCTTCCAACTGGGACAGCTCCTCCAACCGAGCCAGTCCCAAGTAGATATTATTTTGCCCATTTTAGGATACTGGTGCTCAAAGAACTTAGGTCATGCAGATGTGGGATTTGAATTCAAGTCTGCCTGATTTGATAATCTAGAGTCCTGTGCCATCCAATATGGAAGCTACAAGTCATGTGTGGCTGTTTATGTGTAAAGCAATACACATTAAATAAAAATGTAAAATTTAGTTGTTTGTCCCAATTAGCCCCATTTCAAGTGCTTGACAGCCACATGTGGCTAGCGGCTAAAGAACTGGACAGTGCAGATTTAGGACCATTCCACCGTCACAGGAAGTTCTACTGCTCAGCAATGGTCTAGACTCTTCAAAGGAGGGATCAACTCCATGTCAACGTCACTATCCTAAGCCCAGAACGGATTTCCAGATTCCAACCCAGGAATCACTATAATCAGCATTGTTTCTTTTCCCTGGACCTTTTCTCTTCTCAGAAGGGAAGCTACTGAATAAGGACTTAACCTGGCACACTCTTCCAACATTGCTCACCTTGCAGGTCGACGTTTGGAGGCGAACGGGAGATGTTTTTAACAATCGGAATTGCAGAGAATTAAATAAGACAATAAATCACATTCCTCTGTGTGAAGCCTGGCATAGCGTAGGCCCTCAAGAAATGTCAATACAATATTAAAGAGTGTGGAACGTGAAGTCACAGGGCTGGTCGGAGGCCCCGCTTACCACTTTGTAACCACATGGCCCGGACAGATCAGTCAATTTCTCCAAACCCCATTTCCTTAATTATAATTGGAGGTTATATCTGACCTTGCTATCTTGGAGGACTGGGATGAAGCCCATGAGCTACCAGGTAAGAAACCACTCTGTCAAGTTAAAGCTTTGTAAAGTAAGGTCTTCCTTCTGTTCTCCTTTGTGCCCTGAAAAAAAATGATTAATATATAAATAATAAATAAATAAATAAATTCCCAATCGTAGCTTGTTTACCAGGGAATTGCCTCTTTTTCCTGAAAAATGGAGGACCAAAAAGATATGGTTTATGGAGGGACAAAGTCATGGGAGATTACCCAGATTTTATTGCAGTTGAAAAATGGAAAGAAAGAACTGGGGGACAGTGAGAGAAGAACAGAAGAAATCTTGATGAATTCCCTAGCAGTCGGGGCGAGGGCTGTGGAGATTGCCTGGGTGCGTGTGGAGCAGATGCTTCTCCATCCGTCTCGTGTTAGCGGGTCAAGATGGCCTTCAGTGGAGAGCTTCCAGTGGACCCCACTGACCACCCATAACTGCCCAAGCTACCCACATGGGTCCTGGGGAACAGACATGCCTCAGGCATCCTTGTCACCTGCTAAACACAGCTGTCCCCTGGGAACCTCCATGCCGCAGCCTGGCAGGCTCGTAGGAGAAATGATCCACATTAAATCTAGCTCCTTCCATTCCAGATGAAAAGTGACATTCATACAAAAGCAATTCAGGTTAATTATCACTTTCCAGGAATTTTAACCCACTTGTGAAAAGGCTTGTTAGAACTGCTCCTTTTTTCCCCCCTCCACATCTACAACTCACACTTGTGACCTCAAAGCCAGGCTGGTTCCCTGAAGGTTGCTTCCCTCCAGTCATGCCCCCGAATCACCCAGATCATCATTTCCGTGTCACCCACCCTTCCTCACTGCCTCTCAGCCCTGGTGGGGGTCACCTCTCACTGGGCTGTCAGCCTGCCCCCCTGGGGGTACAGTCCTCTCAGTAGGATGCTCCCTCTTTGTGGGCATATGAGTGGGCAGCACATACCCCACACTATCCAACATTTTCTTATACATAGCACCCAGGGGCCAACGAGTGGGTGTGTCAGACATTACCAAAGAGCTGGTATAACTAAAGGGAATTATAATAAATAGGGCACAAAGGGAAAAAGATCTTAAAGAAAAACTGCTAAGTGAGTATCCAGGAAGGCAAAGGAAAAGCATGAACAAAGTCTACTCCTCACAAAGGAACACTCAGAGGCATACCCCTATTCCCAGCTGTGATCGCCATCCCTAGGTGGACCATACCCCTCTCAGGGAACCCATTCTTCTTCAAAGCTCCCAAGTCATAAAACCATCACCCTTTGGGAAATCCTACTCTCTCCCCTTAGAGGATACATTGCTTTGCTAGACTCCCATAGCCAAGTACCACACCAGGGTGGCTTACGTAGCAGATGTTTATTTTCTCACCATTTTGTGATTCTGGAATCAAGTGTCAGCAAGGTATTTTTTTTTTTTTTTTTCCTGAGACCTCTCTCCTTGTCCTGTACATGGCTATCTTCTTCCTGTGTCTTCACATGGTCTTCTTTCTATATCTCTGTCCTAATTTCTTCTCACAAGGACAGCAGCCATATTGAATCATTTTAATGACTTCATTTTAAAGATTTTTTTTTTTTTTTTTTTTGACAGAGAGAGATCACAAATAGGTAGAGAGGCAGGCAGAGAGAGAGGAGGAAAGCAGGCTCCCTGCCGAACAGAGAGCCCGATGTGGGGCTTGATCCCAGGACCCTGGGATCATGACCTGAGCGGAAGGCAGAGGCTTTAACCCACTGAGTCACCCAGGTGCCCCTAATGACTTCATTTTAACTTACTTACATTTTTAAAGACCCCATCTCCAGATACAGTCACATTCTGAGGTTCTGGGGGTTAGGACTTCAATGTATAAATTCTGGGGTGTGGGAGGAGACACAATTTTGCTCCTACCAGGGAACAATATTAAATTCTTGGGCTGGATATTTTTCTGGGTGCCTCTGAAATCAGCAGCAGGAGGTTGTCATCCCTCGGTCCTGGTGACCCCCCCAGGGCACAGAGGGATGAGAAAGCGGGCAGAATTGCTCTGGTGTCTTCGCAAACAGCCAATTCATCCTACCCAGGGCCGGTGAGGGGACTAATCCTTGTTCTCACCAGCAACATATTGCCGAATGCCCGTTCTCCAAGAATGCCAGAAGATTCCCCATGACCTCTAACATCAATTTCAACTTGGATAATGAGTTTTCCTCTCCCTGTCCTTCTCGCTGAAACAATGTTCTGCATACGATGACTCCTTAACGGCAAGCCTTGACTAGAACAAATCGTGATAAGGCTTTGGAATCAAGGGGACCGGAACTGGTGTGGAGGTCCCACCCCTTACTACCTGTGTACCTGTGGGCAATCAGCTCAGTCCATTCCATAAACATTTAGCAAGCACAGACCAAAGGCCAGGCACTGTGCTAAATCTGAGATGCGGAGATGAGTAAGATCAGATTTCTCTCTCCGGGAGTCTAGTAGAGGCTGGCAGAAACGTAAACGAATAATTACCACCGAGCGAATAATAAGGGCTTTAATAGTGTTAGATGCAGGCTGCTGTTGGGTTCAGAGCCCAGGGGAGGGGACCTGGTGGAGATGGTAATGGTTGAGCCCGTCCTAAAGGATGAATATAACCGGTTGAAGGGAACTTGGCTGATTAAGGACAAGGGTGTTTCTGGTCAAAGGGAGGTCACCACTCCCAGCATGGGGGCTAGGAACACCTAACTCCCAGGGCTGTTGTAAAAATCCATGGCTAAGGGTATGAGTTTAAAGGGTCTAGCACAGACAGTAACAGGTGCTGCCAACTACAGCAGAGGGGGCCCCTCCCCCACCTGGTCCCTGCCACTCTCCGCTACTCTCCTCTCTGTGGCAACTCTGAGCTTGCGACTTAGCAAGCCTCCCCATGTCCGTGTGAGTTTCAGGTCTGGCAAAGATCCTACTTTCCTTGCTACTGTCAAAACTGCTTGTATTCTGTGCATCTTAATTCAGAGGTTGCAGGGGTATTTGGCCACCTTCGCAACTTCTCCCCGCAGCACATAAATTATAGGTCCAGAAATGCAAATAGAAGCACAATGGGAAGGTTTGAGTGTGCTGGTGCATGCACCAAATTATTCTCCGCATGATAATTTCTATTACTGCAATTAGACTCTGTAATTAAAAATCACTGATGTTTCATGACAGCCCGCAATTGGATTTGGGGCACAAAGGAGAGGGTTGGGGTGTGCTGGTATGGGTGGGGACACTGCACACAGGGTTTAATCGGGGCTGGGAAAGGGTGTCGTCGTCGTCCTTGAGGGCCATTCACTAATAAAAAGTTTTCTCATTTATATATGGAAATAATGAGGCAAAGGAGCTAATTTAAAACAAAAAGAAGAAGAAGAAGAAGAAGAAGGAGAAGAAGGAGAAGAAGGAGAAGAAGGAGAAGAAGGAGAAGAAGGAGAAGAAGGAGAAGGCAGAAAGAGAAGATACGCAACAAACGTACAGATCACTTAGAAAGCCACAGTAATTTACCTGCCTGCTTTCCTTTTCTGGAAGATTTTTATCTCTGGCTGGCATTGTCGTAAATTACTTAGTAAAGCTGAAGTCAAAATTGGTTTTCAGTGAGTTCCACCTCTGTTTGACCCCTGTGTAAACAAGAAACCACACTGGATTTTCTCACACGTTTAGCTGTGTAACAGCTCCCAAGAAACCAGGATTTCTGTTTCCAGTTGACCACGACTCCAGGGCTCACAGATCAGGGATGGCAGAGAATCAAATGTAGGCTCCTGGCCCCTGGGTGGTGGTGGGGGATCCTCCCTGCCACCTGCTGGGGGGTAAACAGGGCCTGTCCTTGGCATCCCTCCCACGTGCAAAGGAGACAGAAGGAAGGGAACCTCTGAGGAAATCTAGCTCCCTTCTCACCCTGGTCGGAAAGGGATTTTTTTTTTCCTCCGGCCTCTGAGAAGGTCTTCGTCCTGTAAAAGTAAATTAGGTAGAAAATTACTTTTTGACAAACTTGACTGAAGCTGTGAAAGTCATTCTGCCTAAGTTTGAAAAGTGATTGGAACTGAAGGTTTTTTTTGTTTTTTTTTTTGTTTTTTTTTAAAGATTCACTCTTCTTTTCTTTTTAAAAAAGCAGATCGCCCTCGGGTAATGAATAGGAATTCAGACAGATGGTGAATACTTTTCTTCTTCTTTGCCTGATTCTGATGGGGAGCTCTTGTCTCCATTAGCATGTCAATACCGAGGGCCCTCTTGAATTTTCTAGCCATTCCGGATCAGTCTGTAGAATTTTCCATTCTTTCTCATTCTGAAGTGGGTCCTGTTTCAGGATTAAATGGGGTTCCTGGCTAGTTTTGGGGGGAATACAATGGCATATTTAAGTGGTTGTGTCTATGATTGTTTGTTGTCTAGGGCTGGGTAAAAAAACATCCTAAAACTTAGTGTTTTAAGACAACAGTGAGTCCTTATTTTTCTTCTGTGGGCTGCCTGGGCTGTTCCTCTGGCGGGCCGGCAGAAGGACGAGGCTGGAGGGTCCACAAAGGCCCCTCTCCTGTGCCTGGGGTGTGGGTGCTGTCAGCCAGGGTGCCTCTGTTCTCCATGTAGGCAGTCTCTCCACAAAGGCTCATGCCCCAGGCCCTCTGCGCCTCCAGCATGTCCTACTAGCACGGTTATTGGGCTCAGAGGGCCTGACTGATCACACCCTCAAGGATAGGCCCAGAAATATCATTTCCACCACAGGCTGTTGGCCAAAACAAGAGACAAAGCCACCCAAGGATATGGGGAAACTGAAGGGAAAAGGAGACTGACTCCACCTCCTGGAGTGAGGAGTTTGCACAATTAGGGTGGGAAAGGAGTGCTGGTAGCCATCTTTGAGACAAAGGCCGCCATGGTAAAATGCGTCCTCAGCTGATGATTGAGAACTTCTTCCAGGAAATGGAGGATTGTCAGTCTTACTGAGTGGACCCTGGATAAGCTGATGAGAATGAAGAAGGATGACAGGTGTAGTTATTACGCCTTGCACACCTCCTTAACGTGCGCTGAGCATGGTGTAAGGTGCTTTGCCTTCACCTTCTAGAAAACAACTCTGAAAGGGTAGTGTTTTTATACCTACTTTACATATGGGGAAACTGAGGCTTGGAGACCCTGTAATACAGGGGTTAATTGCAGTCAGCTGTGAAGGATGCTGAAGGGGAGCTTGCTGCCTCTCTATGCCCCCTGCTTCCCCGAGGGGCCTCAGCTCTGCACCTGTCTGGGCCGTACCAGCCAGACCCCTGTCACCATTCCCCATCTGAAGACCTCCTACACTGAGACTTTTTCTAAGCCTGCTTTTTGTTCAGTGACAAGAAGTACTGAAAGGTTTTTAGTTAAACTTATCCCATCAAATATGTTATCCTTTAAGTTGTCAGCCTTGGCTCACCCAGTTAAAATTTTTTCTTTCTTTCTTTTTTTTTTTTTAAGATTTTATTTATTTACTTGACAGAGATCACAGGTAGGCAGAGAGAGGAGGAAGCAGGCTCCCCGCTGAGCAGAGAGCCCGATGTGGGGCTCGATCCCAGGACCCTGAGATCATGACCCAAGCCGAAGGCAGAGGCTTTAACCCACTGAGCCACCCAGGCACCCTTCTTTCTTTCTTTTTTTAATATTTTATTTATTTATTTGACAGAGAGAGAGACACAGCGAGAGAGGGAACACAAGCAGGGGGAGTTGGAGAGGGAGAAGCAGGCTTCCTGCTAAGCAGGGAGCCCAGTGTATGTCTCGATCCCAGGACCCTGGGATCCTGACCTGAGATGAAGGCAGATAGATGCTTAATGACTGAGCCACCCAGGTGCCCCTAAAATTTTTTAAGAAGGCATTTGGCTGGGAGCCTGGGTGGCATAGTTGGTTAAGCTTCTGGCTCTTTTTTTCTTTTTTTTTTAAATTATTTTTATTAACATATAATGTATTATTTGCCCTAGGGGTACAGGTCTGTGAATCATCAGGCTTACACATTTCACAGCACTCACCATAGCACATAACCTCCCCAGTGGCCATAACCTAATCACCCTCTCCCTACCACCCCCCCCCCCCAAGCAACGCTCAGTTTGTTTTGTGAGATTAAGAGTCTCTTATGGTTCCCTCCTGATCCCATTTTGTTTCATTTTTTCCTTCCCTACCCCCCGCGACACCCCTGCCTCTGTCCTACCTCTCAAATTCCTCAAATCAGAGAGATCATATGATAATTGTCTTTCTCTGATTGACTTATTTCGCTCAGCATAATACCCTCTAGTTCCATCCGTGTTGTTGCAAATGGTGAGATTTCATTTCTTTTGATAACCCTCCAACTCTTGATTTTTGGCTCAGGTCATGGTCTCAGGGTCATGAAATCGAGCCACAAGTTGGGGTCTCTGCTGAGCGTGGACTCTAAGATTCTCTCTCTCTGCCTTTCTTCCTTCCCTCTATCACCGCTCGAGCAACACACTCTCAAAAAAAAAGGCATTTGGCCCAGAAATTCAAGAGAATATTGAAGAATTTAGAAGGGAACTGGTTATGTAGCTATTAAGCCTTATTATAAAGCTACATTAATTTGAAAATGTTGTATTAATGCCAGGGAAGACAAGTGGAAGAGAATAAGGAACTCAAGGTTAGTTCCACCCATACAGAAGAATGGTTACACACAGGATAAAATACAAATCCCTGGAGGGAGAACGGAAACTTCCAAGAATGGCTCCGGACAGCCAGTCATTCACATGGAAAAGTACAAAATGAGATCTTCACTCCCTGTCGAACACAAAAATAAATTCCAAGCAGATTAGTGGTCTAAATGTAAACAGGAGGCAAAAACAGATGACTATTTCCAAGACTGTAAGTATTGAGGAGGATGTCTTAAATAAGACACTAAAGTTCAAACCTTCCTGAGCAAAATGATTAATTTAAGTGACCTTAACAGTCCACGTCTGTGAGGTTTAAGACGCACGTACTTACAACCCAGCAATTTGGGTTACAGGTAGGTCTTGAGAAACTCTCATGCATAGGCATGAGGAGGAACGCAAAGTTTGTTCACTGACACATTGGTTAGTTTAAAAGATTAGAAACAGTCTAATTGTTCCTCAGCAGGGGGGTAGGAAAAATAAACCCTGGAATACAATAATATTTAGCAGTTGATAGGAGCAAAGTAGATTTCTGTGTAGCAAGACGGATAAATCTCAAAATCATGGGGAGTAAAAAAAAGTACAGGACGGTATGTACAGAAGGATGCTTTTTATGAAGTTTTTAATGTAAGAAACGACACTGAACATTTTTTTTAAGATTTCATTTTTTTAAAAGATTTTATTTGTTTATTTGACAGAGATCACAAGTAGGCAGAGAGGCAGGCAGAGAGAGAGGAAGGGAAGCAGGCTCCCCTGCTGAGCAGAGAGCCCCATGTGGGGGCTCGATCCCAGGACCCTGAGATCATGACCTGAGCTGAAGGCCGAGGCTTTAACCCACCGAGCCACCCAGATGCCTCAAGATTTCATTTTTAAGTAATCTCTATACTCCATGCGGGGCTCAAATGCACAGCCCTGAGATCAAGAGTCACTTGCGTGGGGCCCCTGGGTGGCTTAGTTAAGCGTCCCTGATTTTGACTCAGGTCATGGTCTCTGGGTCCCGAGATTGAGCTCAGTGCTGGGTATGGACCCTGTTTAAGATTCTCTCTTTCCTTCTCCCTCTGCCCCTCCCCTTCTTGCGCATGTGTTTTCTCTCATAAATTAATTAATTAATTAATTAAAGAGTTGCATGTTCTACCGACTAAGTCAGCCAGCTGCCCTGACACAGAACATTTTTTTTTTTTTAAATATAGCTATCTACTTTTCGAGGAAAGCTTCAAAACATGCAAGGAGGATACACACAATCTTCAAAATAATGGCAAGGAGGAAGGAAAATGTGATTTCATATATGTAGGGAGCTTCAATTGAATTTTTTTTTTGCAGTGTTTCTTAAAAAGAATCTGGATTGGGATGCCTGGGTGACTCAGTCCGTGAAGTGTCTGCCTTCTGCCCAGGTCATGATCCCAGGGTCCTGGGATCGAGTCCTGCATCAGCTCCTTGCTCATCAGGGACCCTGCTTCTCCCTCTGCCTATTTCTCCCTCTGCCTGCCCCTCCCCCTCTCTCTCTGATAAAGAAATAAATAAAATCTTTTAAAAAAAGAATATCGATTAAAGAAAGCGAAATATTAATGTGTGCTAAATTTGGGTAGAGACAACATGTGCTTTTATTAAATTACTTACAATATGTTTCTTTCTTCTTCTTCCTCTTTTTTTTTTTTTTTTACAGGGGGAGGGACAGAGGCAGAGGGAGAGAGAGAATCTCAAGCAGGCTGCACTCCCAGCACAGAGCCTGACTTTGGGGATCCATCTCAAGACCCTGAGATCATGACCTCAGCTGAAATTAAGAGTTGGGATGCTTAACCGACTGAGCCACCCAGGAACCCCAGTATGTTTTTTTTTTTTTATATTTTAAAAAGATATTGCTCTTAGAATCTCTGAAGAATGATGGCATGGCCGTGAGGCCCAGGTCAGTGTGAAAGATAAGAGTTCGGAGGATGCAGATTGCCTTCGAAGTCACAGTTTAACGTGCCTGGGAGCGTGCCTGGGAGCGTGCCTGGTGGCCTTTCAGTCTTCCAACACAGGACCCTTTCTCTCAGGCTCAGCTCTGGTCCAGCCGCTCTCTCCCTTTCTCCTGACCTGCTCTGCTTCTGGGCACAATTCCAAGCAGAAAAGCTGTTAAGCCCCCGCTTGTCTCAACTTCCCGATTCCAGCTACCCAAGCTCATTCCTAGTTTCCCTTTCATCCTCAGACACTGGAAAGCCAGAGATGAATGATGATGGTGCTGTTGAAGGAGAGGAAGTCTGGGAGGCCTTACTCCTTGGAAATCTTTGTTTTTCAAGGCTGTGTCATCTTGTCATCTCCATTATCTCAGCAGCTT